TGCGATGCAAACTATCGTTGCCATTCCTCCGCAGCGAAGCGGGTCAAGTCATTGACCTGGATGTTCAGAGACATTCGAACGTACATCCGCAGAGTGCCGATGACGAGGAGCCGCTCCCCTCATCGCGGCAGCTCCAGCGCTGATGCCAGCAGCACGGTGCCAGCCAAGGATGGTGAGATCGGAGCGGAGCTGATGAGGGAGGCCGAGCGCGCCCGCCGCGGCATCGAGGCCACGAAGCAGGGTCGTTGGTCGACGAGCGAGATGGCAGACGGCGCAACGCTTGTCGATTCGTTCCAGGAGGCAACTGCGGGTGACAGAGGAGAGGAGGGGGATGAGGAGGAGGAGGAGGAGGAGGAGGAGGAGCAGGAGGAGGAGGAGGAGGAGGGGAGGAGGAGGGGGGCAGGGGGCTGCTGTCAGCTCCCCCCAGGCTTCGACGCTACCCTGCCCCCTCCCTCCTCCTCCTCCTCCTCCTCCTCCTCCTCCTCCTCCTCCCAGCCCTCCTCCTCCCCATCCTCCTTCCTATCTCATCTTCTCGTCCTCCTCCTCTTCCTCGTCCAGGGCGGTGCGAAACCACATCCGCATAAAATCCGCATAAACTTCCAAGAAAGTTATCATAAAGTTTCAGCTGGCTTTCACCGCTCCCGCCCAAGGCGCCCTTCAAGCAGACGGCCTTCGCGGCGGGCCAGGAGGCGAGCACGACGGCGACTGGCGAGGATCACGGGCGATACTACACTTGATTTGGTTTCGGGGGGAGGAGGGGGAGGAAGAGGAGGAACACAGAACTTAAGGACGAGGTGAGCACATAATGAAAGCGGGGCCAATGCAGTGGAGGAGGAGGTGGAGGAGAGAGGGAGGAGGAGGGAGAGGAGGAGGGGGAGGAGGAGGAGAAGGAGGAGAAGGAGGAGAACGATGGAATGCCAAGGGGGATGGAGTGGGGAGTCTGGGCTCTCGGAAAGAGGAGAGGTAAGACGAGTCGAGGGTGCTTGAAGATAGACGAGCCCCCCCCTCTCGCCCGCGCCCCCTGCTGCGCGGTCCACGCAGGAGCCCATGCTGATCTCCAGCGACGACGAGCCGCTCTCGCAGCACCTGCCCGACGGCAAAGCGGCAGGACATCGGATACCATAGGAGGAGAAGGAGAAGGAGAGGAGAGGGAGATATCGGGGGGATAGGGGTGCAGGGACGGGGAGGAACGAAGACAGACGGCAACGCTGTTGATGAGGAGCGAGCAGGGGGCGGCGATGGGGAGGGGGAGGAGGAGAACGACGGCGAGGGAGAGGAGGTGGAGGTGAAGGGATACAAGGAAGAGGAGGAGCTCCCTAGGAGGAGGGGGAGGAGGAGGATGAGGAGGAGGAGGAGAAGGGAAGAGGGTGGATGGTTGGAGGAAGAGAATGTGAGGGAAGCTGGGGTGAGGATCCACCTCCCGCCTCAACCCGCGCCTCCTCCTCGCGATGCCACCCCCCTCCAGCCTCAGGAGCTTCAGTTGCTTGCGATGCGCCTGGTGTTCCAGCTCCGCAGGCAGCCGCGCAGGAGCCTGTCGATGGCGGCGATGATGTGGGCAAAGTTGCTGATGACGGGCTGTCGCAGGAAGCCGAGGCCCGTGCTGCGCGGGCGAAGGCAGAGGAGGCGGCGCGGGAGGCAGCGGAGGCGGCGGCGTATGCAGACCTTCCTGACCGTCAGCCGTCAACAGCGCCGAGCGTCGCCGAGCAGACTCCCCAGCCCAGCGAGCCAGATAAGTTGACCAGTGCGAAGCTCAGGCAGCACGAGCTCGAGCAACCGGCTGAGGACTTGAAGCCAGCAGATATCACCGCGCCGCCGCAGAACGTGAACGCCACCAACGACGAGCTGACTGCGTCCACCTTGCTGAAGGCCGTCGACATCGAAGTCAGAATGATCCAGCAGAAGCTAGAGTCCCTCAGCAGTGACGACCCCCAGACATGCGCCGAGATCATGTCGCAGAAGCTCGCTGCTTTCTTCAAGGACCAGAGGCTGCAGGAGGTCCAGAAGTTGCGCCATGCCCAGGGGCAGGCAGCCGCACAGGAAGAGGAATCTAAGGACTCGACCGAGTTCAGCGCGAGGGAGCTCAAGACCAAGAACATGTGGGACAAAGTCAAGAGCGAGAACTTCAACGTGCCGACCTCGACGGGGAAGGACAACGCGATTGGCGCACGCTGGGGGTATGCTCTTCGCACTGACGCAGCCGTGCAGGCCGAGTACGCGCAGGCGAAAGGATGGCCAGCCCAGCGCGAGGTTCGCAGGCAGTGGGCCAAGAAGGAGTATGAGGCCTGGTTCAAGACCCAGGGCTTCAAGCACGAGGTCAAGAACACCAAGACCGAGACCAAGCGCGGCACCTACATGACGCTCCAGCGCATAGCGCACAAATCGGGAGGAGGCGCCGCAGGCATGCGGCGCGCAGTGAAGATCGCAACGAACGCCACCCTGCTTGGGGGCCACTGGGTCAAGTGGGACGATATGGGCGAGTGCGTGCTCTACTTGCACATCGAGCACCACCTAGAGGATAAGTGGGAACAATCGTGGACCCAGTGGAGCGAGTGGCGCACCAACGCCGTTGACAACATCAGTGGCAACGGTGGCAGCAGCGGCAGCAATGGCAACGACGTCGTCAAGCCACATATCCCGAAGGCTGTGTCCCACGACCCGCATGGCACGGACTGGGCCGCGCTCTCGGCCTTTGCGCACCCGCCTGCTGCTGGGATGGCCCCTCCGCAGCTCGCCACGAACCCCGACAAGTCCCTCGTCCGCCTCCACGGCAGCAGCGACGCAGCAGGTGCAGCGGCAGCAGCCGCGGCGCAGGTGCCAGCAGGAACGCCAGCGGAGGCGCCAGCCGCGCAGCCGCCAGCTGCGGGGAGCGCCGCGCCAGCAGCAGCGAAGGGGCCAGAGCCAGAGACGCTGGATTACTCGGCGAATCCGCCAACTGCGAGCGTAGATGGCGACGGCGAGCCAGAGGGCAAGAAGAGGCGCACTGACGAGGGCGGCGATGCAGGAGGCGGTGATGCAGGAGACGCTGGCGCGGTGCAGCCTGGTGGTCGCAAGCCAAGGCCGAAGCCGCAACCTGTTCCTGAGTGGCTGAAGAAGTTCCGCAACCTCAAGACCCTCTGGACCACTGTGTCTGGCCAGGCGAAGATCATCCTCCGCTTGATCGAGTCGAAGGACCCGAAGTGGAAGTTCGCCGACTCCGAGGAGATGCGCGGCCCCCTCTCGAGGCAGTACACTATGGTGCAGCGGAGCTCAAACAATATTCCTCCTCCACCAACCTCCACCGCCCACCGATCACTTTCAATGCTCCGCCTCTCTTCGACCACCTTTCGATATCTGTCCTTTCTTATCCCCGACGCATCATCCTTCCATCCTCATTTTCCACCTAAGTGTCCTGCTTCCCTCTCCTCGAAACTTCGCATCTCCCAACGACGATCGTTTTGACGATGCTGCGCCACTGCCGATTCCCTCTCTACTGCATCTGTCTCCACTATCCGTCCATCATCCGATGATGCACTGCCCTCCCCTCGTACGTTTCGCGAGCCTGAAAACGGTGAATGATATATTTCGGGGGGATGGGGAAGATGGGGGGAGGTCGCATGGGACCGCCGCGCGAGTTCGGCACGCCCCTACCCCCTACCCTTCTACGTCCACCCCTAGAGCTATTCCCCTACCAACTACCCTACCTCTATATCACCTACCCCCTACCCCATACCCCTTCACTATCCCCTACCCTTATTCTCTATCTCTACACCCTGCCCCTGGCCCCTACGCCCATGCACCCTACACCTACCTGTATCCTTGTTCTGGGGAAGGTCGCAATATTATGGCACTTCCCTCGCGCGGATCGCCGCCCCATTGGGATCGCACCGTCGTTGGTCCTGTTCTTCACTCGGACTCGCATGGGGTTGGGCCCTTCGGCATATTTGTTTCGCCCAACGCAGGTGATGAACATCATCGATGGCGACTCTGTGACTGCGCAGCTCATGCTGGGTGACCTGAACCAGCTCAAGGAAGACATGGGCCAGTCTTTCGAGAAGAAGGTGCTCAAGGCTTATGCTGACCTGCACAACCCAATTGAGGATGTCTCGAACGCCATCAAGAAGCTGCACAAGCACGCGAAGATCGATAGGGACGACAAGGCTGGCTCGGCAGGGAAGTGATCATGCGCAAGGCGCAACTAGTGAGGAAGGCAGCAGCGAGCACGAAGTAGCTTCGAAATGCTGCAGCCTCGACACATCATACATGACATGAATACGAGCGCGCATACAATCCGACTGGAGCACACAACCGCACGAGCACGCGCGAGCACACACCGGAACGCGACCGAGCGCAGGCCGGTACACACTGGGACGCACCGGCGTTCTGAAAAAATAAATCCCGCATAAATTCCGCATAAATTCCACATAAATTCCGCATAAACTTCTCATAAACCTTCATTTTCCAACAAGTGTATCACAGAAACGCACCGCATAAACTCCGCATAAACTCCGCATAAACCCCGCATAAACTCCGCATAAACTCCGCATAAACTCTGCATACACCTTACACGAGCTCGGGCGCACATGCGCGCACATATTTTCCAATGGAACGCCGAGGCTGCAGCTAGGTAGGGAGCCGTCTCTGGAGAAGTTTGCTTTGAATGCGCAAAGCAATTGGGGTATTTCTCAAGGGGCAGACAGGGGCGCGAGTTTCTTGATCAAGACATCTGTCCGCGTACCCACAGGGTATGGTTTTTCATCCATGTGATTTCTCGAGTGCCCAGGAAGTAAACGTTCAAAAACGCGTGGTATGTGATGATCGGTTTGCACGCGCAGAGTACATGATGTCTTGTGACGAGAAACGCGCGCCCCTACTTGAGACGGTAAGTGCTGGGATGGACAAATTACGAGCATAAACATTATCGCATACATGCGTGTCCCTCCCCACAAGCTGAGCATGCGTACACTACGCTGGGGAGGTGTATACATACTTGAATGTCCATCCTGGCGGCAATGCTTTGCCGACGGACAGTCTGACTGTAGGAGCATTGCGCACGTGCCCAGAGTCAAGAACAGCACGCATGAATCGTTGATGCCTGCAACGTACGCAGGTCGCGTGCACGAAAGGGACGATTGTAGAGAATGAGGCAATGATAGTGAGCAAGGACATGAAAGTAGATGAGTCAGCAGAGATACACCATAGTAGACTCACTGGGCTGTGCGTCAGACTGTTTGTCAACCATTTGAAGTGCTCAGCTGCTCGTGCCCGAAGAGCAGACGGAAGCTGCTCGCCTGCATGCTCAAGTGGAGCAACGCAGCCTGGCGAGCGCAGCGTGCGGTCAGTGTTGGAAGAGGAGTTGCGGTGGCGCACCCTCATTCCTGCATTTGTTTGTCCTCTCCTGCTACTTATCGTCCTGCCCCCCTGCGCTCTCTATTGCCTTCCCAACCCCCATCGTGAGTCTCCCAGACATCCTGGGGTGCGCCCCTCTGCGTCGACGAGGCAGCGTCCTGCATCGCCCCCTCCCTCCTCATGTCTTCCCCTGCCGCCTCGTGCTCTCATGCATCACTCATCCTCTCGCTGCCAGACCCTCGGTTACACGTTGAGTTGTAGCCTCAAGATCCACCGAATGCCAGACTTAGGAATATTGTGCGTTATTGTGGCCCGTGAGGGCCGATGCCCAGGCTCCACCGAGGTCTCAGCAAGGCCCTTGTAAGCCTCATGGCGACCCCTAGCGACGTCTCAGAAGTTTCAGCCGTGGCCCCACGAGCTCCACCGAGGCAAATGAACGGTCGCTTGACGCAGCTGCGCTATTCGGGCACAACCCCTCACACGCGTCGTGGCTCAGAATGAAAGGTCACCGAAGAACGTTCGAAGCGCCACGGGGTACCATTGCCCAAGTTCGGCACACCATCACAGGACTCAGTGCCTCACGTGGGGCGGCCCGTCTACTCGCTTGAGGAGAAGGCGGAGAAGGGGGAGACGGGGGAGGTGATATCGATCGGCGTAGGTGTCTTCTCGCTCAAGCCCCATGGCAAAACGCAAGCGTAGATCTGCCTACAGCAAGGCGCAGAGCGCGCACGGGCCTGCAGCCGCTGCTCGCGCTAGGGATGCTGGGGCCAGCTTGTTCGAGAAGTTGTTGGGGATGTATGGGACATCGAAGTTATCGGCAACTGATTTTTGTTTCTTGTGACACTATGCGGCACTTGCTGGCACGCCAGGTGCGAAGTTTTCGAAATACGCCATGGCACCAGGGGCCGCAAGCGGAGCATATAAACGATATTTGAGAACTGTTCTTCCGAACGCGGGCCCCTTCTATTTCTTAGACATGCCATCAGATGTTCGTGGACATCCAGAGATTCGGTATCACAAGCTTCCGATATCTTTGGCATTCAACTCCTTGTCGGATGAGGTGTCTCAGGACGCCAGCATGAGCCAGATGCTTACAGAAGGTGTCGATGATCCACACAGTCCGCTTTCGTGTCGTGCCTACACGTCGAACCAGATCGTCAAAAACATCATCGAGGAAACAGGTGTTCGGCCCGTTCCTATCGCAGTTTACTTGGACGGAGTCCGTTACACTGCCCCAGGCGCTGGCAAGCAAGACTCGATACTAGGAATATCATTCATTAACCTTTTAAGTAGCAAGAGGCACTTGAGCGTAGTGGCCCGAACAGGTGACTTCTGTGATTGTGGTTGTCATAGTTGGTGTAGCCATTACTCCATCCTGTCCCAGATAAAGTGGCAATTGCAAGTGATGAAATCAGGAGAGCCCCCGCCCGTGCGCCACGACGGCTCCCCTTGGGACCCTGGAGACCCGTTGGTTCATTCGAAGCCCCTCGCGGCCAGGTTTGTGATGATCTATCTGAAAGGGGATTGGGCAGAATGGGCTAAGACCTTGGCGTTGAGCTCGTGGGCGTCGTATTATAATTGCTGTCCTATTTGTCCAGCGCCGCTCGACTCTCTCCACGTCTTGTTTGAAGGGTTCATGGACCATGGGGGACTGCCATTCGCAGATAGAGATGAGAGCGAGTATGAGGAGGCATGCGCTGGGTGCGAGATCATCGTCGATGTTCGAACTGAGGCTATGCGAGACCAGATACGTTGCCGTCTTTCGTTCGAGCCAGGTGGTAAGTACAAGGGTCTCACAATCATGTCTGACATAGACGACGGGTGCGTTCATTTGCGAGTTGGTGACAGGTTGGATCCTTCCGAGGGGCTCCCTGACACACACCGGTTCGACACGAAACCCATCCCGTTCAGGTGCTGTTTCTGGAGGGGGCGCTATCACGGTGATAAGCTCGTGGATTGGCCAACGCATCGGTGCCCACTCTTCGATCCGAGCATCTGTGCCTCGCCGCAGAGCGTCCTCGCGATCGACACGCTCCACTCTGTATACCTGGGGCCAGTGCATAGAGTGGTGTCAACGGTCTTGTGGCGAACGATCGAGGCGAACCCATGGGGCATTGTCGGGGGGGCCGAGGTGACTTCGAGGCTCGGATGTCGCCGCCTCGAAGCTGATATGTATGCATGGTTCGACTCGGAACACATTCCACACGATCGTCGGCTCGGGGGACTGAAACTATCCATGTTAGGTCCAGGGTCTTCAGGGTTGCCGCACACAAGTGGCCCAATGAGTACCAAAGCAGCGGAGTCTGGGACCCTGCTGAGATTTTGCAGCCGCGTTCTTGACAAATATTCTGGGCAATACGAGCACGGACACCTCACAGTTGCAGTTCGCTCCCTGATCGCTTGGTTGGATGTCTGTCACGAAGCACCGATGCGTTTGAATTCTCGAGAATACCAATCTTTACTAGACAATTGCGCGAGGCACATGTTTGCTTGCCGTGACGCTGGTATCAAGCGGACGGCGAAACACCACCTCTTTTGCCACCTCTCAATAAGGTCACAGGGCAGATTGTTCGAAATACGTAGTCGAGCCACGGCGTAGGGGTGAGGAGAAGGAGTGGTGAGAGGAGAAGAAGGAGGAGAGGGAGAGGATACGAGGAGGCACGGAGCAAGAGTGATATAATGGAGAGATCGAGGAGCGATATCATGCTACACGCCATTGCACATGTAATTCGCCGCACACATGGCAGCTGGAGAGATCATAGAGAGAGACCCAACAACCCAAACAAACGATGCATGATGAGAGAGAGGGCGAACGATATTGAGTGGAGAGCGATGCATGATCAATGCGCGGGCGCGCTAGCCTTGTGCCACGTGTTCTCGGGCGCCCGATACCTCCACTCCCAATCAGGGCCAAGGGTAGTGCGAAGCTCTTCACAAGCGTGCGAGTCATGTCTGATGCCTTCAGGGTGAGATCGCCGATGCATCGGATAGACGATCATCGCTCACGCATCGGCGATTCAACATGAACGCACAAGCACGCATGACAATCACCGTCCCTCCCCATTGCTGTGGACATATGGGTTGATAACACCTCGCGCCCTGTCCCCTGGGTGGAAGGCGGGAAGGGGCATGGGGCGGAGGGGCAGGGATTAGAGCGTATGGGGCCAAGGCGGATACGGAGGTGCGCCAATCTTGTAAGCTAACAGTTCTACTTCGCTATCCGATTTTTCACGATGGTAATGCCCATCTGGGCCCGTGCAAGGGCTCCGCGGCGCGTGTCTGATGACTTCCCAGGGGTCATATATGTCGAAAGATAGGCGGGCGCCTTGAGGCAGGCACGGGGGCGCGTGAGTCGAGCAGGGGGCAACTGGTGCCGCGACGTCGGGCCAGCACCTTTCGGGGGGGAGGCGCGAGAGGTTAAGGAGCCCCACCAGTTGGGGCAGGGGGATGGCATGGAAGCGTGGGAGGGTAGGATGGGAGAGATAACAGGTGGCGCCATCCCGAACAAAATAGCCGAGGCCATTTGGTTCACCCCCTCGCCCCGCCCTCCACCCCCATCACCACCCCGCCCTGCATAGCGGCCTACTTGATAGATATCCCACCCCTACCCTCCAGGTCTTGGGTCATGGGGAACCCGTCATCATATTCAACATTCACTGACGAGGGCTTAAATTTCTTACTGAGAACTGCAGCCCAGCATAGTCACAGAGCAACGATGGAAGAGAATGTGCACAACGCGTATTTGATCATTGGGATGCTCGAGCTCAATAGGTACTTGTTTGGCTCGGGTAAATAATTGTACTATGGCAGAGCTTGGCCATGGCGTTCCCCATTGGGTGCTCGAGCTTGCTCGAGAACTAGCTGGCGGCACCGACTTGCACGCTGGTGTTTCTTCTTCTTCTTCGGACTGTATCGTCAATCTCGCGCGGGATGCTGTGAGCAAGTGGTTGTCGGACGGCGTCCCGTCGAGCAGGACGCTCAATGTATTCGAGGTTTTTTGCGGACAAGGCAGGGTGTGCGAGGCCGTGGTTGGCCTCGGTGGAACGGCTCGCGGTTTCGACAGGACCAGTGGGGCAGCAACAGGACACAAAAGGGCCATGGCAATCTCGCCCCACACTATACACCAATATACACATAATACTAAGCCGACGCATCAGCCAGCTGATCACGCAAACGATGCATTGGCGATGCACGCGCACAGGAACACGCAAAAGACTCCTCACATAAACTACTAATAAATTTCGCGTAAACTACTCATAAAATACACATGCTTCACGCACGTTGCAGGCAGCAGGGGTGGTTGCAGGGGGAGCACTGTAGATGACTTGGGGAGAGGGTGAAGGGGGTGCGGCGCAAGGGGGTCTACACACTGGAACGACGCAGGATGACATCGACTGGGGGGGTACCACATTGACATCGGGTGCCGCGAATCCACCTCCCTCCCCCCGTCCGCAACATCTACATTCAAGAAGCGCGGCGGACCCATTTTAGACACGGGCACGCTCCATATTACATGTTGGCACGTTCTGATGCAAATGAGATGACCATGGGGAACAGTGGGGGGAAGGGGTCCTTCGCGTTAGCTTGGAACATGCGGCACCCATGCTGGTGGTGGGTCGCTGGGGCCGAGGGGCTCCACAGGATCATATTTGAAAACCTGCTCCCGATCGTTTATGGAGACTTTGCCCGCGCCCGTGGCGCGCGGGCTTTATCGCGTGGGAAGATGGTGAGCCGATGGAGGATTCGCCTGCCGATGAAGATGAATGGTTGCGCCTTGACATTGACGCCCTCGAGTAGCGAGGGCGGCAATTCCAAGACCAATGCCACGACCAACACGCAACCCTCACCACATAGCGCCTCGCTAGATCGGCTTCCGAAAATCCGTTCGCTGCCGCGTTTTGTTTTGATGGGCCCAAGCTGCCATAGTACGTCTCGCCCTCGCCGACCCCTCCTCCGCCCCATCCTCTCCCTCCCCCTCCTGTTCCCCCCCGTCTCCTCCTACGCCCCTCTCATCCTCCCTCCCTCCTCCGCCCTTCTCCCCCCCCCCCGTTCTCATCCTCTTCCTCCTCGTTCTGGGGCCAGGAGTTGCAGAAAACGGCGTGGGAGTTCAAGGCCAACGGCGCCCCGACCCCGGTGAGCTCCCCAAATCTACCCATCCCGCCCCAGCTCGCACCGCCCGAGGACGTGCGACGCCTCCGAGGACATCTGCACCTTGTCGGGCGTCCTGTGGGCGGCGTGGAGCACCCTCTCAATCGTGCCAGCTGGCACGCTGATGCGGGAGCCTGAGTGTGCAACGTGGCTCAACATGTGCATGGGCCACACCCGCAGGGATCGCTCCGACTGGTGGGGCAACGAATCTCGCGCGGACGTCAGGGCTGCCAACCACACTGCTGCTGTCATGCAGGGGCCTTAACCGACAACGTGGGGGGCAGGGCAGGGGAGGAGGATGAGGAGGAGGAGGAGGAGGAGGAGGAGGAGGAGGAGCGGGGGGAGGAGGAAAAAGGGATGGAAGGATAATGACGGAAATGGCGAGAGAGTCAGCAGGGACAAGGCAATCAAGGACCGCGCGTGCACGGGATGGATCGAGCAGCAAAACCAGGGATGATCATCTGCACAATGCGCGGGAAGTCGGAAGGGATAACATCATAGGGGAAGGAGGGGGAGGGGTCGCGGGGTAGGACTCAAAACGACGGGAGGGGGTGGGTAAGAGGGGGGCGGTCGGAAATGGAAACGGAGGAGATTAAGGAGGATGCAGAGCAGAGGCGAGGAGCAAAGGCGAGAGCAGGTGGCGGAGGTGGACGAGGAGGAAGTGGGGGAGGCGGCAGTGGGAGTAGAGGGACGGCGAGGAGAAACAGCCCCCCCTCCGCCCGTGTTACACCGCTTCCGTGTATACCGCCACGACCCTGCCCTAGTATGTTGCTGCTTTGCCCTGCGCATCCACTCCTGCCGATCCGAATTCGTCCACCTCTCGGTTATGATTGGATGTGTGTTTGGGCGCTGCGACCGCTGAGGTCATTCCTGTTCCTTCTCGCCGACAGCAGGGGCGTGCACGTCGTGCTGGAACAGTCCACCGGCTCGATACTGTTTGATGTGCCGCACGTGATGTATACCCTTCAAGTCGTGCATGCGCATCGCATCGCAACCCACCTCGGCGGGTTTGGCGCAAAGTCGCTGAAACCCGTGACCCTTTTCACGTCGCACGACGAGGGCCGTGCGACTGGTCTTTTGCGTGTGTCGCGCACAGTGGCGCTGGCCTTCATCAAAGAGTCCAGCAGTTCAAGCGAGCGCCGTCTCGTTCGGCACACCTCTCGGGCATCTGCCGAATCTGGCTCAGAGAGTGGGTGGGGGTCCGCCACTAGCACGTGGATCAGCGGCGCGCAGGGCCAGAGGGCCAGCGCGCAGTATCCTCCAGCGTTTGCAATGGAGGTAGCCAAACTCATTTTGAATATTTGAGCAGATCGAGGGACCGCCAACGATTCACGTAGGAGGCAACGTAACTCATGGTAGTGATGAGGGCGAGGAGGATGATGAGGAGACTCAGGCGGAGGACGACGACAACGTTGCGTAGGAGTGGGGACGGCAACCAAGGAGGGAGGAATGTGAGGAGGAGGTGGAGGACGAGGAGGTGGAAGAGGGTGGTGGGAACAAGGTGTGGAGGGAGGAGGAGGAGGAGGAGGAGGAGAAGGAACAGGAGGAGGGGGAGGAGCAGGAAGAGCGTGAGGAATGGGAGGATGAGAAGACGGAGGAGGAGGGGGAGGAGGCGGAGGAAGAGGAGGAGGAGGAAGAGGAGGAGGAGGAGGAGAAGGAGGAGGAGGAGGAGAAGGAAGAGGAGGAGGGGGAGGAGGAGGAGGATGAGGAGGAGGGGTACTTAAGCACAGGCACAAAAGAGAAGTGGCGGTCCTCGTGGCTCTCCTGCTCCTGCCCCGCTGCCGCGAGCATCTCGTTGGCGCTCTCGACCCCGCGCAAGCAAAAAGCAGGCAGGCAGGGCAGGCGCGACGCGATCGACCCCGAGGGCGGATTGACGATCCCCTGTGCGATCCCCATGTTTTCACCTGTCACCGATCTTCCTGGCCGCAATTCGGGCGGCCAGGAAGATGGGCGACACTAGCGTTGGGAGGGTCCCGCTGTTAAGGGCTGGGGTGCCCCACCTCGTCATCTCCCCCTGATCACCCCTCCCCCTTTACAGACCTCCGAGGGGGAATCGATGGTGACGATGAGTTTAAAATAGTGTCATACATGACGGTGGCGATGGTGCAGCTGGTGTCGTGCAATCACATTGGGAAACAATGCCGATCATCGTCTCGCCTGTGGAGAAAAACACATTCGCGCGTTCGATGTTTGACTGGTCCTGCAACGCATAGCAAATCATAGCGTAGCAGAGCATATACTAACATGAAATACAATAAATAACATAACACAAAAATAACATGATTTTTAACATAACATGTGTTTCTTATTTTAAGATGCTGAGTGCCTCTGGGAAGCTAATTTCTGTTTCCGGCGCCCGGGCGACGCCCAGGCCGGCGCCCGAGCCGGCGCCCGGGCAGGACACCCGACCGGCGCCCGGGCCGGGTCCGGAGCCAGTTCCGGCCGGCGCCGGAAAATCGAGTTCCGAGGCGGCGCCGAAAAAAAGCCATTCCAATACAATTTTTTCTTCTGAAAATGCTGAATTTCTGCTTCTGGCGCCCGGGAAGCCTTCCCCGGAGTTAGGCTTTCGCCTGCAAGTTTGCCCAAAATGCTGCTCTCGCTGAGGCGCCGGCCTCATTTTCGGGCCCCGCTCGTTCCGAATCGTGCTCTCGCTGCAGCGCTGGCCTCATGTCCGTGCTTCCGCTCGTTCCGAATCGTGCTCCCGCTGCAGCGCTGGCCTCATTTCCGCGCTTCCGCTCGTTTCGACTCGTGCTCCCGCTGCAGCGCTGGCGTCATTTCCCGTGCCATGCCACGGCATGCAATGCAATGCTAGGTTGATACTACGCTTCGCGGTGCTCGTCTACGCCATGCCATGCCGTGCTCTACAATGCATCGCGTACCCTTTCGGGATCATTGCCCTGCTCGACATCCGACTGTGCGAGTAGAGAGGGGATCTACGCCATGGTAAGGGATGGGAGGGAGGGGTAGGATGTCAGATATGACGCGAGCGCACCTAGCTTGTCCTCCCCCTCCTCCTCCTCCTCCTCCCTCCTCCTCCTCCTCCCTACCACTCCCTCCCATCCCGTCCCCCCTCCTCCCTCCTCCTCCTCCTCCTCCTCCTCCTCCTCCCTCCTCCTCCTCCTCCTCTCCCTCCTCTCCTCCTCCTCCTCCTCCTCCTCCCTCCTCCTCCTCCTACCTCACTCCTCCTCCGCACCACTCCTCCTCCTCCTCCTCCTCCTCCTCCTCCCTCCTCCTCCTCCTCCTCCTCCTCCTCCTCCTCCTCCTCCTCCTCCTCCTCCCTCCTCCTCCTCCTCCCTCCTCCTCCTCCTCCATCCATTCTCTCCCTCCTCCCTCCTCTCCTCCTCTCCTCCTCCCTCCTCCTCCTCCTCCTCCTCCTCCTCCTCCTCCGGCCTCCTCCTACTCCTCCTCCTCCTCCTCCTCCTCCTCCTCCTCCTCCTCCTCCTGGTCTGGCGGTGGACTCCTCCGCCTTCACGCTGAGTGCGGGGCAGCCCTGGCAGGCCGCCTGCAGCCTCCCAGCGTCGACGCTCACCGGCCCGAGGCCCGCGTCGGCCGCGCGCTCCTGCAGGCGCTTGCGGAGGATGCGGCCGTAGGGCCGCAGCTCGTCACGGTAGAGGCTGTCGAGGGCCCGCAGCACCTCTTGGGGGTCCCAAACCGTTCGAGGCCCAGAAGTGGACACCAACACCAACACCGAGGGTTGCATCCACCAGGGAAAGGTGATCCTAGGTGTTGGTGCTGGTGACAATCTTTCGGCCACCTCAGAAGCCCGAAGATGACCGCCATCACCGAGATCGGGAGCCTCTTCCCTCGGTGGGGGCACGTCGCCCACAGTGGCGTTGGTGTCAACCTCTAGGCCTCCGAAACGAGTGCGGCGACAGACCGTGAGGTCCGCCCCCGCACGGCCCGCCACCGCACGGCCCGCGCCGCACGGTCCGTCGCGAGAGCTCACCGCACGGTCCGAAGCGAGACTGGGACCCCGTCGCCCGAGACGCCCCCAGAGAGAGCGGCCCGAGCCCCAAAAAGCCGCGGCCGGCCACCCGCCGCACGAGACGCCCTCGGAGCGCGGCCCGGGCCCCAGGACCGCGCGGCCGCCCCGAAGCCCCACCAGGCCACCCCACCGGGGAAACCAAAAGGTATACCGATACCGCCACTCCCCGGGCCTCTCCCAGGGCGCGTTCTGACAAGGAGTTCGAGGCGAATCCAGCGGTGGCGACGAGCGCCTCCCAGGAGGCCCAAGAAGGGGAAAACGAGGGAAGGGTAGCGGTATGGGTACCTGTTCCTCTTCTTGGCCCACGGCGTGGGGTCGCGGGGCCCGCGGCACCTCGGCCATGTCCACGGCGCGGCGGTCCTCGGCCGGGGCCTGCCGCTGCGCCTGCCGCGGGGGCGGCCGCGGGGCCGGCTGGCAGCTTGGCTGCGGGGCCTGCTGCAGAGCCTGCCGGCGGCGCCTCCTCCTCCTCCTTCCTCCTCCTTCCTCCTCCTCCTCCTCCTCCTCCTTCCTCCCCCTCCTCCTCCTCCTCCTCCTCCTCCTCC